AACAGTCAAACTTTAAAGTTTATGAGGTAAAAACTTTAATTTAGTAAGCATTTCGAACAATACTAAGTTCAAAATTAAAAAATGTTTTAAGAAAGCATTATGTACTGTAGCTAATGGCTTATAGAAAATTATCATTTTGATCTATAGAAATTAACTTTTAATAAAAAAAATCTCCAAAATTACTTTCTCCTGGGAACTTGAACCATCTTGATACGTAATAACTTATTCTTGTTTTTGTTTCTGCAGGATGCGAAGATTAAGTTGAGACTGCTAGTTCTGCGATTTATTATAACGCTGCTTTTGCAGATAAGAAAATTATTTGAACCAGTGCAAATGTGATTATTGCCGCTCTTGGCGAGGGCTCCAAGTAGTGTACTTTCATGCTTACTGGGATCTTTGCAATTATATTTTCATTAAAATATGGTTATTTCAGAGAAATCAGATTATAACTATTAGTCAGGATTTCTGCCGCTAGTAACTATTAAACTGTTAAGATTTAGATGAGTTACTTTGGTACTTAATTCCCTTAATCGATTCTTTTGGAGAAAAAATTCAATTGCTTCTTGTATATTGATTGGGAAGTCCTTATTTAAAGAGCTGTGATTTGTATTGTAGTTCGTATTATACTTTGAATTGCTAATAGAACAATCTACATATTTATATGCACTTTAAGTCATTTGAATCGTCGTGTTCTACGCAGTGATGGCAGGTTTGGTGATTCTTGCATTCTTTTGCGATGTGCTGTAGGGTTGGGCATGTATAGCAATACTTGATTCTTAAAAACTTTTTTATGCGGCATATGTTTCAATCCATATTTAGTCTGGTTTTTGTTACTATAATTTTAAAGTGTTCAAATGGTTCGGCAATAACCTAGTGGTTGTCTTCTCTTCCATGAAGAGCAAGTTGCATTGTAAATCTATCACTTGGGTAGGTCCTTTATCTGGTCCATTAATGCTTTTGCAGTTACGTGGGTCTGAAAGTTATCTACGTTGTTTTGATATTTTTGATCAGCTGAGAACTTCTAATTTTTGGTTTTATAAATTCGTAGTTAGTATTCAGATGAGTTTGTTTGAATTCTTCTATTGACTGTCTAGAATCATCCTCCTTTGAAGTTTGAATAAGAATACCTCCCTTGCTAATGTTTATGACTCTTTCAATCCAATTTTCAGTTTTGTGGGATTGATCTTCTTTACTATCCCCTTTTTCGTCTGTTCTGAGGTCTCCGTCTGATTCCTCGGGTAGACTAGCACCACGTTCTCTTTTTGTCCTGTAAATTTTCTTTGAGTTGCCATTGATCTAGATCTACCACTTGCCTCTGCATCACTTTATGGGCCTTTTGTTATCTCATTAGAAGTTGGTTTGATTTCTTTCATTAGTCCAATAACAGTTTCTTTCGTCTAACCTAGCTTGGAGTGCTTTAATCTTTGTATTTTCTTCCATATCTTTCTTTTCACCTTTTCTTCTATAACTATTCTTACTATGGCACTGACGCTATTATTTATCACTGCTGTCGAAGCTATAGTTAACTTTTTACTGTCGATCACTTGTTCACTAATTTTCTGCAGCACCGCTGTTCTCCTTAAAAGTCATCTACTTCTCTCATTTCTTCCAACAGTTCCGTATTAATTGAGACTTTCATTTCTCCCGCAGAGGAGGATGAATCCACTGAGATCGCCGTACTATACTCTATTGCAAGTTAAGAAAAAGTCATTATCCTTATGGAATGCCTGTGTCTATGTGTACGCCAAATGGATGCCAAGCTCCCCGCGCGAACGCATATCAACCCTTGAAATGACGTTTCGCAGCCTTCTTTTTGCTTTCTTTCTTTAATCGTGTGAAATGAGGAAAACAAAACTTATTGAATAATCAATTAACAAGTTAAAAGAATTAATAAACATGATATCAAAACATCATAGCAAATATGTCTTTCTATTTGCATTTAAAAAAAATCTGATGAAAGAAAGATAAATATTGTTTCTTGTAGGCAATTTTCTCCTACAGTGAAGCAAAAGTATTCCTTACTTCGCATTTGGTTTGTTAGGGGCATGTCAGCATAAGATGAGCCATTTTTAGTGGTCCGATGAAATCCAAGTCCTCTTGCAACGTCATGTAGCTTCATTTTCAAGAACGAATGTTCTCATTTATCGAATATCCCGAAGTCCAGGAGTCCAGTAAGACTTCGAAACTATAATTTTTTTTAATGATTCTGTGATATTTATCGTAAAAGATAGCACCAATTAAATTTCTGTGTGTCGGGTTTAAATTTTAAAAGCTTTTAAATTGTTTTGAAAGCATAGTTACATAATTTGATAGCGAAATAAAACGAAACTATATGCAATCGCTGATCATTACTTAAATCATATATAGCAATGGTCTTTTCTCAACTTGCAACGTGGTATAGTAGTGGTAAACAACTAGCAAAATAAATAACTTGAAGTAAGTCTCAATTTTTACCGACGTTTGACTCAATCAGAAAAATACTAAGGAATTGAGTCTGAAAGTGCTCACCAGATCAAAATTTTCTTAAAAAAAATTTCAAATCTAAAAATTTCGTTTACCACTGCTCTGTAAAAACTTTAAATTGGTTAAAATTTGTTTTCTGTGTCCTCTGTGCCTTTATCCCCGTTAGTCGTCTTTTGGCATTGCTCGCCAGCACCGCTTGGTGGTGTTGATGGTGAAGAATCAGAAAAAAGGTGTTTCAGGTTTAAAAGAAAAAAAAATGGGCCTTTATGTGAGTATCGACAAAATTGGTTCTGTACCCATGTGCCGCCATAAAAAATTTTCAAAATAAAAGCAAATGAATCGAGAATAACTCACTGTGGCACGCAGGTCTTTGTTAAATATAAAACGTATTTGTAAAATATCTATTACAACGTAGTGTCGTTTAAATTTTTACAACATTACTATGGTTGCCAAGTTGAACCATATAATCGAGCAAATTAAACCTTGATCTTAATTAAACGGTATAATGTTTCAATTTGAATGTGAACTTGATTAAATTTTATACCTTATTATCATTGCGTCAAATTACGATTTAATGGTTTAAGGTACTATAGTTATGGCTCACTGTAAAACCGATTTTTTGAGAGTCTGTTTTTTTTCGACTGCGTATATATATATATATATATATATTGAAATATTTTATTACAAACTGAAACTAAGTCTCAGAATCAGTGGACTGAATACTGATTTAAACAACTCTAATTTATAGTTGTTTTTTCTACTCTCAGACGTGGTCTATAATCGTAACTACTTTGTTGAAACAAAGCTTCATAAAAATGAAAGCATGCAGATAAATCATAAAAAAAAATTTTTTTTTCTTCAAATATTTGTACAAAAGTTGATGCTGGAACTAAACTTCAAAATTTGTGGATTGAATACGAAATTAGCAACTATAAGAAAATTACCACTTTTCTACTGTCAGTCGAGGAGGGGGGAATAATTGTAACTTTGATCTTATTTTTCGTGTATTCCTCTTTAAGCATGTTTGCTACTTCCGAAAAGCGTTGAAAGACTGGTCTGAGAATTCTTTATGGTGCTATAATAAGGACTTAATTGACACTTAGGACTATGAATCAAGAAAGAATCTTCCGTTCGGCTATCACGATATCTTTTAGAGCGATTATTCAAAACTCTTGTTCCGTGCATAGTTTCAATTGGATGCAAAAAATGTAATCTTGAACTGATTTTTTTTTTTTTACTCTGAAACGTTCAACTATAGAGTTCCCCATGTAGTGTAATTATCCATATCAAAGATTATCAGAATTTAAGAGCTGAGTTGATGAACCAGGTAAGTGACATTTTAAGAGTGGTTATATTCAGGGAAGAAGTAAAAAAGAGGTATCTGAACTACTTTATTATAGATTTATTAGAAAATTGGGCTAATAATTCTTTGCTTATTTGGTTTATCACCACTTAATTTGAGATGAAAATCATGCAAGGATACTCAAAACTCATGTGGATTAGTTATCTCAAAACTAAAGTGAGTGCAAAAACAATTGTTACTCTAAACATACCCATATTGACCATTTTATGTCAAGTATTAACCTTTTTCTGATTAATAAATACCCCTGAATTACCTGGTTCAACCTTTAAGCTCTTCAATAGGGGTCAAACTTATCCGTGAAAACCTTTGACTTTATTCTGAATTGTAACAGTACATTTGTTAGGTGATAAAATGCTTAAAAATTAAAATAGGTTCGTTTCTAAATTCCGGTGATATGTTAAAGTGTAACACATTATTTTCTGTTTATATGGTTTTGCATTTAATGGTTAATGTGATTCAAGAATTCTAAAAGAATTTAAATTAGTTTTGGCGTTGAAATATTTTAAAGCTCATGGTGTCGTTTAATCCAGTTATGTAATACGACTTACATTTCAAGCATTTTGTTTCTTGTGCCAAGTTGCACTACATTCAACTTGGTGTAAAAAAACATTAATTCGCTGTTTTTTTTTCATCAATTTATTTATTAAAGTAATAAACTAAATTTTTCGATTAGAGTAGACGAATTGATGTTTGAAATTTATTTCGCACTTTTATAAGTTAGCCTGTGTTGTCTATGTTGAATCTCAACTGGTCAACGTTGATTGCATTATAGCATTGAATTATGTCTTAAGAATTCTAAATACTGAAATCCTCTTTTGCATTTATAATAATTTAGTTATTCGAAGAAATTAAATAAATAAAGAAGCATAAATTATTTATGAACAAATTGTTTTCTAAACTAATAAACGGGAAAAATGTTTTTAATAATACAATGAGAATATTATTATACAATAATAAACGCTTCCATAAGAAACCTTTTTTTTTCTTAATCGTCTTAAATTTCAAACTGTAAAAATGTGTAGTTTTCTTTATAAAAATATTTCAATGGTTATAACAGTTAATAAGTTTAATTCTTTCTCATAATAAGTTTAGTTTTTGCATATTATTGTGAAATTTTAGTTTTATGCTGTTAAATTTAGAAGTGAAAATATAATTCTTTCCTTATTCTTTTCAGAAATTACATTCTCTAACAAGATAATTTATTCTTGAGAAATCTGAAGACATGTTTGTAGAGGCTCTTTAATCTCGATCTCATAGGTAAGAAATTAAGTGAAAATCTACTCTTTTTTATCTACAATTCATTCCGAAAACATATTGTCGGAGAGTTTTTAAATCTGGACAGCTCGAAATGCATGTTTACAAAAATGGATACAGCATAAAATGCATGTTTGAGAAAATGGATACAGCATAAAATGCGTGTTTAAGAAAATGGATACAGCATAAAATGCGTGTTTAAGAAAATGAACGCTACTTAAAATGCGTGTTTACGAAAACGGACACGGAAAAAATGCCCCTTTTCAGTTTTCAACACAATTTTAACAACTAAACTTTCTTACATGTTTAAACACTAGCAAGGACAGGGTTTCATCTTGGAAACCTCAATTTGTAATGAGACTTGGCATATCAGTATTATACTTTCAGGGAATTCACCACTTAAAAAACAGAGCGCAGAAGTCAGCCAATTTCAAGAAAAATGTATTTGAAAATTCAAGAATACTTTGCATACTATGTAGTTAAATTTTTGCGGCGTAGTAGCTTAGTGGCATTGAACCTGCGTAGCAACGAGACGCCTATTATGTTTTATTTCTAATATTCTTTTTTCATAATAAACTGTTTTCTTTTTAGTTAACAAATAGTTTAAGGGAAATTTTATTTATTGTATTTTTTTATTAGATATTTCTTGATATTTAAATTACAGTAATTTAATCTTTCCATGAAATAAAAATGGCTAAAATAATAATCTTTATAAATAGCGCTTACAAAAAGGAAAAAAGTTGAAAGGTTTTAGTTTTATCATATCTTGTTTAGTAAACCATAATCTGGATAGAAAATTAACGAGAAAAAAAATGAATGCAAAAATGATTTGGTGATTTGCACGATTGTAATCATGAACAACATATTTGAAATTTATGTGCTGAAAAACATACTTTGTAACATTAAAAAATATTTCTCTATCGTTTGAAAATATAAAAGCGCACCAATTGTATATCCTTTTATTGAAAATTGGTGAAAGAAATTGACGATGAACTGTTTTTATTTTAATATAGTCTTTACGAGAATTCATTTCTCAATTTTGTTCAATTAACTATGCAGATTTTGTATAGGGTTTTAGATTTTTTCCTGTCCATAAAAATAAACGCCACAGATTGTATCAGATTAGTACATTTTTGAGGAATCACTTGAATAATTATGTTATACACATTTCATTTATTATAATCACTGTTTATTAATATTGGAGTTTTGACCAATATCCTTTAATTGAAAAATTTATTCCTGTAATTTACGTGTCAAGTAATATTTCATAACTAAATAATACAATAAATAAAATAATTAATGATATTTGTAATCAGAAAAATCTTTATTAAAAAAGTAGAAAGCAGAAAAAAACTAATTTATATCTTGAGCAATATTTAAAAATTAAAAAAAAAATCAGTGAAGAAAATTAAATCTGTTAGTAAATAGAAAAAAATCATTAATAAAAAAATGCGAAAAAAAGTCTTTTTGATGATTTGTGTCTCATTAAGCCGGATACCATGTCATTAGACAACTGTGTCGTCTTAGAAGTGCCTTTAAATGCATTAAAGTGGCAGGATATAGTAAAGTCGTGCCTTTTACTTGTAAGCATAATCATTACGGGTTAGAGTCATGGATCTTCGGGGTCGGGGTGGCTGAGGGTATATTACAGAAGTAGCTATACATTCAGGCGATGCCTTCGTATTTAGAACTTGAAACGATTAATTGAGTTTTAAAATTCTGACCACCATTATAAATTTTTAGCCCCCGTGGCAATCTTGTAGAAACAACTGTTGACTTTTAAAATCTTTTTAATAAAAGACTAATTTGATAAAATGTACCAAGTGATGCATGCAAATGGACGATATCACGCTACGATTTTATTTGGATTGAAATACTAGTACTAATGCAAATGGAAGATATCACGTTACGATTTTATTTGGATTAAAAGACTAGTACTAATGCAAATGGACGATATCACGTTACTATTTTATTTGGATTAAAATACTAGTACTAATGCAAATGGACGATATCACGTTACGATTTTATTTGGATTAAAGGGCTAGTACTAATGCAAATGGACGATATCACGCTTCGATTTTATATGGATTAAAGACTAGAAAAAAAGACTAGTACTAATAAAATAAGATTGCAAAATGGAATCAAATACTATGTCCATTTTTGTAAACACGCATTTCGAGTTTTGTCAGATTTAAAAACTTACTGATGATATCTTGTCTTGTAAATGATATTTTGTAATATTCTGTTAGTTTTATTATTCAAAATAGGATTTTAAAGAGTATTTAACTTCTGACCTTTAATATGCGGTCGGCACGTAAATATAAAAATAATTTTAAATTAAGCTTGAATTATTTTTTATTCTTGTTACGTTTGTCTCATTCTTTAAAGCTTAAAAGTTGTTTACACTCGTATTGTGAAATTTAGCCTTGATCTTTCGTCCAGGCGATTATTTGTCCACACAATGTTTCAGCCATGAAATTTTGTCCCCAAACATTCCAAAACCAATTAAATAGTAAAGTAAAAATGCGTGTAAAATGGGACAAAAATGTATTCCATGATTTAAAAATTCTCTCTGGATCCTTCTACTTTAATGCTTAATTTTGAAATTTCGATTAGAAAATTATTTTCAACTATATCATAGAATAAGTTTGTTAATAAACAATATAAGTATTTTTTTAAAATCAGTGGTGTCATTTTTTTAAAATCTTTTTTAAAATCAGTTTCCCTTTCCCAAGGACTTTATGATTACTAAAAGTTTAAAACCTAAGCCTTAATTAAATTGTATTTTATGGAATTCTCTAAACATTTTGTATATTACCCTATGATTCATTCTGTTAAAGTCTTAAACTCAAAATTTTCACAAATTAATGCTTATGAAAATATAAGGACTACCAGACCTATTCTTTTAATACTATGAATTGAGAAGAAATTTCAGTGATTAATTGCTTTAGAATGATTTTGTACATCTAAAATGCTTAGCACAAATTCTGTTTGATACGACATTCGAACCCAACTTATCTCTGACATTTTTCAAGGAATAGGCCTGTAAAATCTAAGTCATTCATAATACTTTGCATGCAAGATCTATTTCAGAAATAGGATTTTTACTACTTATATGATTATTTCAGATTATTGAGACTTCCATAAAAATATAAATACATTTAATTTTTCGTAAATTTGATGAAAATGTTTTTCTTGAAAATTTATGAGGGGCTTAAATATTTTTGTCACAAGTTCATTTAAAGGCATCGCCGGACAACTAACCTTTATTTTTATGTTTGTCTTTAAAAAATCAATCAAATAATACGCCAGATGATCCTCTCACAATTTGAATTTATAAACTTGCATCTCATTCCTACACTCTCGGAAAAGTTGACTCAAATTTGAACCATAATATCTATACCTTGGACCAAAATGCAATGTAAATTTCGTGCAACTTTATTAAGGTATTAAATTAAAGCAGGTTTCCATGAAAATTCAATTATAGAATCGTCTAAGTTTAAGGAGTACGATTTAACAAGCACCATATTCAGGCTGCAGAAAATTTGAAGGATGTAATGGTTCAAAGCACTTCAAATCTTCTTATAGCTTAGGATAATAAAGTGATAAGTTAATTTAAGTATTATTTAAATAGACTTTTAAAATTCGTGAATTTTAAAATTGCTATATATATCTGTAGTTGATGGTACTTGGTACAGACGTTCAAACTCAGAACTCTATCGGGCCTTTCGAGAGCCTGATGTTGTTAAGTATGTAAAAATCCAAAGAATTAAATGGGCTGGTCACATCATTCGAATGAACAGAGAGCGTTCGACTAACATAATTTTTTCGGCTCAGCCAATCGGATCAAGGCCCAGAGGTCGATCAAAGCTGAGATGGGCCGACTGCGTGGAAAGAGACTTTTCAGTCTTAAAAGTCTCAAACTGGAAGACAACTGCCAGGCGGAGGCAGGCCTGGAGGAAGTTGATTGAGAAGGCCAAGGCCCACCCGGGGCTGTCGTGCCATTGAGGAAGGAAGGAATATATATCTGTGCGCAATAATTAATGAAAGAAAATATATAATTTATTAGGTTTTACTAACTGCATGTAGGCTTTAAGTACATAAAACTCATAAAATTACAATGAAAACGATAAAAAAATAATAATAATTTTAATAAAAATAAGAAAAAAAATTCTAATTCTTAAATTTTTCTTCTGAAGGAAGGAAAAAATTTCCGACTTGTAGCTGCATATAAGAAATATATTATTCGTATACTATTTCTATCATATACTATGGATGTCATACACTATTTCTATTCTTTTATTTAAATTCTCTTTACTTTTTGTGTTTTTATATTTATATATATCTATATTAAAATTTAACTAAGTCATTTTTAAAAACTAAGAGGAAAGCCTATCAATAACGCACAGTCATCTACAAATTTGCTCTTAAAGGATTAAATATTACGAAGAAAATAAATTTGAATTGCTTAAATATAAAATTTGATTTTACATAAGAATAATATAAAATTCAGCAATTAATAAGTTGTAAAGGAAGATAGCTTTTTTAAAAAAAGAGTTTCTTAGTTTATCCTTCATATATTTTGTATATTACAATGTTGAAGTGTAACACCAACACGCAAACTTTGAAATGAACTATTCTGTATTGTTCATTGGGAGTTTCCAATGAAAACTATGTCCAGCATTTAGAAGGTCTAATCGTTCATTTCATTACATTTTTTATAAGCTTCGTCTGGAAGACGAAATGTTAGAAGGTGAATTGTGGTAGTGACGGCCTTGGAAATACTTGATCAAGGTCCGCTATTTTTTCATTTGCTTAAATGCTTTATTTCCATCTTCCTTATGTCACATATGCTTCCTGTTCGATAGTTTATTTAAATATTTTACACCTGTATTTATTACCTTGCTATTCGATATCGCCTGAAGGGCTACTTTGTAATATGATGTACGATTTATTGATTGCGGAAGTAATATTAGTCATCCTCACATTCCTATTTTTTTTAA